ATAGAACCAAAAATTGGCCGTCGCTCTCGTGGCAATTTGCATTTCTGTCCTATTGTATTTCTATTTTTGTTCTATTTTGGTTTCTATTTTTTTCCTATTTTATTTCTATTTTTTTCCTATTTTATTTCTATTTTCTTTCTATTTTGAAATCTCCGGCCGGGACAGAATTTGCCTTATATAGGAAATCTATATAAGGTAGACTGGGCCCGACCAAAATTAGACAAAAAATAAAGAAAAAATAGAAATATAATAGGGGAAAAATAGAAATAAAATAGGGGAAAAATAGAAATAAAATAGGACAAAAATAGAGAGCGGCATTGAGCACAGGTTCCATTCTTGTGCCATTTTCTTCCTATTTCTTTACCTATTCTGCATTCTATTTTGATTCTATTTTTTTGGTATTTATTGATTCTCAACATATTCCAGGCTTATATAGGAATTCAGCCTCATAACCCTAAACCCTAAAACCCCCGAGGTGCCAGACCCTAAACTGTACAGCCGATGCATCAAAGAGTTCAGAGCTTAGGGGTCTATAATTGAAAGAGATGCTTCGACTCCTTTCTGGATTGCCCTGTACACCCAACCCGCCACCCCCCTCTCAACGAAGAGCCACGGAATCATCGACAACCCCCTGAGCCTCATAAATATCGACCTGAATAGTCAGTACTCCTATTGAGCTAGTAAAGTCTATCCCCGAAGCTTACTCTACTTAGCAGGCCGCTCCTATGGCGTACCCCAACCAAGATCGAAACCCTAAACCCTACAAGCCCTAAGCCCTGAACTTCAATCCCCAGACCCTAAACTAAACCCTCCTCCCCAAATCCCCGGGCCCTCAGAACCCTAAACCCTACAGCTTAGACCTTAAACCCCAGACCCTAACCTCTAGCCTTCCACTATGGTCTAGCCTTAGAGCCTGCTGCCCAAACCCCCCAAAACCTCATGGCATCGGCTAGGTGGGACTTTGGGAAAATGCATGGTTAATTTCCTTTTATGGTTCCAAAACTTACGTTTGGTTAGTAGAGAATGGAGGAACGGGGTACAATTTTAATTGCTATTACTACAATTCTTCCATTCCCTAGAAAAAAGGTGCAAAAGGTATTTACTCAAAAGTACAACCCGGATCAGGAATGATCGCCGACTTCGAAAGGCGGATCGGGGAGCTCAGGCCGTCAGAAGAGTCCGAGACACCTTCGGGTTGCTCGAGGTTTAGGGTTTAGGATTTAGGGCTTCTAGGGTTTAGGGTTTGAAGGTTAGGGTTGATGGTGTAGGGGTTGAAGGGTTAGGTTTCAGGTTTGAGGGTTTGACGGGGTAGGGTAGGGTTCCTGCTAGAGTCTTGAGGCTTGTTAAGCTTTGCTTTAAGTTTGAGGGCTTAGGGGGGTTTGTAATGCTCCTTCAAACTGAAGGCTTTGATGGGGTCCGTGTAATCAGGACTCTACTATCTAGGTTCTATAGTGCGAGCCCTTGTTTGTCACATACCCCATCAGGACGTCTATTTGCAGAAGCAGGCCTTGTATGGGTTCAATGTGGTTGCTGACCAAATCCTATGCGTGTTCACGGATTAAATGAAGGTCAACGGATTCAAGCTTCAATTGAAACATCAGGGGGCTATGCAATGCATTTGGGTTATGACAACCCTTTTGGGGTCATCTTCACAACAACTTTGCTGATGACCTACCTACGAAGTCCTCAAGCATGAGACCTTCTCTGAATTGAGGCTCCTCTTCGGAGTCCATCTTGCAGTGTGGTGCAGTCATTTGGGAGAATTAGGGTGAAATCGTCCACTGGATAATTAAGGCGGAGCAGTAGAATCTTGATGCTAAGAACAACACTGACGCAGTGATGGAAGGAAAGAAGTCGTAAGAGCGAAGGTCGTAATCCTTGAACCCTAAACCCCCATTCCCAAAACACCCAAACCCGCGAGACCATCAGGCAGCCCCTTACGGAAAAAGAAACCCTAAACCCCACACCCCAACATAAACCCTAGTGAGGCCCGCATGTTACGTTGCGTCGCTGGCGGTTCATGCCCGGGCCACGGCCCGTGAGCAGGCTCGATTCTGCAGCCGTTTTGTGTTTTGGGGGTTCAGGGTCCGCAGCTGGAGGTTCTGGGTTCTCTTGGGTTCGGTGAATCAGGAAGCCAGGTTCAACCAGCAGTCTCTGCAGCTACTGAACGTCTTTCACTTCTGCTGCTGCTGGCAGTTCTTGCACACGAAGCCCAAAAACCATAAAGCCCCCAAGCCCTTAAACCCTATTCCCCGAAACCCCAAAATCCCCAAGCCCTAAACCCTAAACCCCGAAACCCCCTGACCCCTAACCCTAAAACCCTGAGCCCCCCGCAAGGCCAGGCTCGGGGGCTCTGCAGCCATGCACCTGGGCCTCCGTCTGCGGGACTTGGTGACCTACGGCCCCCGGTGCTGATGTGAGTTATATACAG